CGCGCAAGCTGCAACAGATGGCCATCCCCAAAGGCATCCTGCCAATCCATACCACTTGCTTTCCTCTTCTCCAATGTCGTCTTCTTGCGTGGGGATCATTGCCCTCTATATTGAATGCTGAGAAAAACTGTACTTACTTAATACGTGAAGCACGAACAGTTGTATAGCTTTTCTCCATTCCTTGAGTAAGTCTGTGATTACCTGACTCCAGTACAGCCTTTATACCGCCTTGTTCCTCTGCCACTTCACAAGGTGAATTGGCAATCTAAGAACTCCTCAAGAAAAAACACGGCTGCCTGATAAGCGTGCCGTATTCCTTTCCTGAACACTAATACTTCAAAAATCTCTTAGGATAGCTCACTGGAATTTTGACACTGTTATCTTTCAAGGAAGCTTTGCTGAAATGTAAATCAGGTCAGCAAAAGAGATGGAGGCAGGCTCATTAACAGATAATACTCATACAGAACATTCACCACCTCTGTGTGAGGGCTGAGGCTTGCCTGTGGCTGAACAGTATGCCATTGTTCAGCCTTCTCCGACGGCTGTTCTGAAGCGCCTAGTCGTAATTTCGGCACGCTTGGAAACAGCCCCACACGCTCACCCTCTCCTGTTGTTTAAGCGCAGGCTACAACGTGCCCTTTCTGTCGGTCCGTACGTTCCTTCTTGGGCGGACGCTCCTCTTCGCAGCACCTCACTGCGTTCGAACACGGAGACGCAGCGACCCTCTCGCCTCCGCCCGCCTCCTGCGGACAGAGCTGCATTCCAGTCACGCACCTCCCACCCCCTTGCTGACATTACTTCTCTTCACGCACGAAAGCCTCGCCGTTTTCCTGCTTACTAGTGTAAGAGCATCTCAAAAATGTCTTCACCTTCTCTCTTCAATAATTCACAGCATTTCCGCTAGCAATTACCAGCACATTTCTGCTTTGGGGCATAACCCCTGAGCCAGTTCGGTGCGTGATTCTCGCCTCGCTCCGCACATCCCCGCTTTCCAGCTACGTTTACGCCTCTGCCCCACTCGCATCTGTTTTACGCAGAGTTAGCAAGCGCTACGCGCCACACGTGCACCCCTCCCCTCCTCACCTGCTGCACGCTTCCCACGCGGCAGCACTTCTGCGCCAGAAAAGGCAGGCCAGAGTGGCTAAAACGAAGTGTTATGAAAGCCCCTCGTGGATGGCTGCTCATTAGCAGAGACGAGAACCTAACAGCGAGAACGTTGCTGCTGCACCCGAGGGTTTTTCCCTCATTGACAGCAAGCTGACACTTTTCATAAGCGTTATGGTCCCTTAAAAAGAAACAAACAAGTTTTGTATTTTCTCCATCTGCCTCCTGTCCTAATGAATCCAGCTCTGCTATTTATAGGATGCAATTTGTCTGAATTATTATAAATTTCCTTCCAGTGTTCTGTGGAGGCCTCACGTTTTTCCATGAAGCGCTTCAAGCACATTCCTGGGAAGCACAGCTGGTCTCACCTCCATTAAGCACCTGCTTCTCTTCAACACTGATTTCCTTAATTTCAAGATCATCTTAATTATTTTTTCAGGTAATGCTACTTTTGTGCAATATACAGCTAATTGCTTATGTCCATTTTTTAAATGGAAAACGAGAAAAGAGCATCATTAGCGATAGGTAATACATCAAATGAGAAAAACATCCACTATTTTTCTTTTTCTTTAAAAAGCTGTTTTAACTATAGCCCAGCTTCAGCACTGCTCTTAAAAAGATAATTTCTCCTGGAATAAACGAGACTTTTCCATCGGTTATGGATTTGTGCTGAGTTGCAGTCTACACTGCTTCCTCCTGGAAAAGCGTGAGGATAAGTCATTTATTGCTTTTTTCATTGCAGAAAGCAAAGTAAACAAGTTCGCTTTATTAGCTTTTGTCTTTTAGGGAAACGGAAAATGCCTCGGACACTGATGTCATTGTGAGTGTCAGACATTTTACAGCATCTAGGCATTCCTCCCAGCTAATGGCATGAGTGTGTACACAAAGGAAGGTCTTCCACGTTAGTCATCTTCACCAACATGCTGTAGTCTCATCTTTCTGAAAAAAGGAAGATGAGCTTCTTTGCAGCAGGGCTGCTCAAAATTGGCAAATGGATTTGTTCAGTGTGAAGTTCAGGCTACCAGGAGGTGCCAAGTGGATTATCCTTTATTTGCCCACAGAGCAGTGACAGCAAAGACGGCAATTTCAATCCTGAACAGAAAACACCTGCGGAATTAACGGGGGGTGATTAGCCATCTCGATCCATTCAACCCTCCGTCCCCATGCTGAGAATGATGCAGCAGCTCCTGGATTATCTCCTCCACAAACCTATCTGCTTTCACCTCGGCAATGCTGAGCCTGTGCCTGTACTTAGCTACATTCTGGCAATAGCATAAAATATTGCACCAGGTGCCTATCTCTGATATGCCAGCTGAACCCCGAAGTCAGACAATTCTCTTTGGAGCAAGGGTGCCAAATCTATTCCCCTTCACCACCCATCCCATTTAGGATTTATTCTCCCCCTACAGGCATGGAAAATTATATACATGTGGCTACTGGTCGGATGAGAGTCCTCCTGCTGCTGTAGGAGAAATGTGCTGCTTCATCTTCTATCCCTACAAAAACTCTGGGTTGCTGTTTAAAAAGATGCAATTCCATATAAAGTCAGAGGGATGCTGGCAACACTGTAGGAAAAATGAAAAAACCCCTAGCCCTAGGACAGGGAAAAAAAAAAAAAAAAAAAAAAAAAAAAAAATAAAAAAACCCCTACCCCTAGGAAAGGAAAAAAAAAAAAAAAAAAAAAAAAAAAGACTAAAATGAACCCCAATAGCTACTGATTCTTGCAGTGTTCATGGGCATATTTACACTAGCGTTTTGACCCAGACCAGTTCTTAAGCGAATTTCCCACTTACTGCACTTCGGTTCCCAACACAGGCAAGCGGCAGCACCACCCGGACTCCTTTTGGGCTGAAACTAAAGCAGGAGGTGCACCCCAGGCCCACGCCGAGGGG